TGATAACTCGAAAAAATATCGAACGAACAAGATTCAATTATTTTCTGACGAACTCTGGTTGTGAGCGAAATTTCATGTCAGAAGATGAAATAATTCAGATGGAGTGCAGTTAATTTATGCAAACACATGAATCAATTTATGCTTTGCTAAACTTAGGGAATTGTTAATGATGAATTTCTAGCATGTTATACATTACAAGCAAGAATGGAACAGTTCAGGAAGTTCACCGAAAAAATGCTCGTTGAAATACCGAAAATGTTAGAGATTCTTAAATTAGAAACAATTGAAAAGGTGAACGACATCATTATAGCTGTTCAAGATCAAGTAAGTGAACGACNATTGTGATCATAATCACCCAGTAGAATGCATTCAACACTTTTTTTCGCTCAGTTCATCTAAGGGAATGTGCACATGCACACTTTCATAATTCCATTCCACCCAACATTACGTCTTACATCCTGAAGGCATATTTGGGATGTAGATGCGATATTGTCTGCGATACAGATTCAATATCATGACCAGTTTCTTCATAACATCAGGGTTCATATGAGATGCAGTGATTTCTTGTGCTCATTCCATCCGGCAAGATTCAGCAATTTCGGACTGTTCAACGGAGATTTCTGATACTGTGATCTACTTCACACACCTCTCGTTATGCTTTATGTGTTTTGTGGTGAAGAATGTATTGAAAAAAGGGAGACAAATCATATTTAATAGCAAAAGAATGGGAAAATTCGTAAATTCTAATTGAGAAAAACGAGAAATAGCTCAGCATTTGTCGAAGATAAGAGTGACGAGGAAATTCCTCCGTAAGGAAGAAGAACCTCACAAGTGAATCTGAACTACCAAGACAATTTACGAATCTAAATATTCAGTGTTGTGGTGAACTGTTCCATGACTATGCAAGTGAATTCATTATAGCAGGGTTTTTCTGTAGGCGAATAAATCCTGAAATGCTAAATGTTCTTCATTAATTTTATCAAACCGTCGCAGTGTACTGCAAAAGATCAATATCTCTCGTTGATCAAAAATTTTCGTAAACCTTACGATGTTCTATTGCAGTCACAAATACCAGATCTGCTGAATTTTCATGTGCTATTTGTATGTTTCTTGTGGATAGCGATTATGATGATTGGCTTTATCACTGGAGAATTTGTTGGTAATGCCATTTTTAACTTGCCTTCATTTATCATATCTTACATTATCTTGCATCAAATTATCTTATCATGATTACTGACTGCCTGACAACTCTCTTCGATCGGGTAAAGGCATGGAGATGAATTGCACTCCACGAAAGTGAGTTTGACCTGAAATCACCCTTCCATCTCTTTCAGATTATTGTTGATGAGTAAAAACTTTCGGTTGATCTCTTATGATCTCTTGGAATGTCGAATCAATAGATAAAAATGTTGACTTCAGGAACTCAGTTACTCGGTGATATCTTACCATATATCTGTGATGACTCGTCAGCTATCGTTCTGAACTTCATCTTAATTCCTTTATTCCTTTATCGACAGCTTGACACGATTCCAGAGGAGTCTCGTCAGTCACATTCTCTACTTCTCGCCTTTGCGATCATTCAGGTAGATTTTTGCTTCTTTGAAAGACTAGATGAAGATTAGATCATTTTTTGTTTGATCCATTGAAATGTTCAGGGTCTCTTAAGCGGTTTAATTCTGCGCAATCATTTGGTGATTTTACTTGCACCTCTTCATCTGGCCAATATTATCTACATAGCCGTAATATCACGTATTATCGGTCACAAACTGAACAATGATAGACAAGCTTATTATGGGATTATTAGCGGAATTGCGTTTGTGGTAAGTTTGCTTTTTGGTTATTTATTTCAACAGGATGATTTTCTGATGTGATTTGAGACTAGTGGATGTATCGAGTTCCGGGAGTGATATTTTATTCCTGAATTTTCAGATTTTCTCATTGTCCGCCCTCATAATGGGTACAATGTGTACAGGCTTCGCTCTGAATACATTGTTTGCTGTATTTACATCGCACGTTGTCATTCAGGTCTACATGCATCGTGTATCTCAGGTGAGTTTGATCGTTCACCTTACAATTTGATCGTTCATTGCAGTCCTCAGCTGTAGCGGTTTTTCATCATACACCATATAAAAGTGGTCCGTAACTTATCGATATCGCATTTTATAAAATTTCCTAATTGCAGTCAAATCTAAAGCCGTCATACATTCAATTGGCCATGTTGAATTCATCAATTTATGCGCAGGCGTTTGTCGGTTACCTTTGCACGTAATTATGACGATGTGTGACACTTGTGAAGAAAATAACCGAAGTTTGAATGATTACTTCAAAACGATTGCTGTTTCATGAAAATGATTCAACTACTAACTAGTGTTCTTTGGCGAACGGGGTCTTCGTCGAAGTACCCGACGGGAAGTACTTCCTCGATGAAATTGCTTCCCGACTGATTGGTAAGGGCCGCCTTCCCGGACGAATTCCTACCCCCGGGGACTGCCGCCCGGGTCAGTTCGTTCCCCACATTTTATCGGGATCGGTTTTCGGCTTTTCAACTCCTGATGAGGTGCCTGCCCCTGGTCAAAAAGTTACTCCTCGACGAACACTACTACTGACTGTATTTGGTGAACAGTATAACATTTCGATTGGTATATAAGGTTATTGTGAATAAATTAGTAAGAATGTAATAAATTTACTAAATTCGTAAAATAAATTAGTAAACGTGTCTGTTTTGAACTGCATAAGATGCAAATCGATGCAAAATTAGAAATCTCTATTAAACGCAACCGATTCAACACGTTGAATATGAACTTATACTGATGCAGTTGTGCGATCAACTGATGATGCACGTTACTCAGTCATGATAAGTTACTCTCCATGGACCGTGGAGTAAACGACCAAGAATGTGGCACATCATCAATTTCTGTGTCATACTGATGATGTATAGCCCGTTGAAATATTGAGCAAAGAATTTCGTTTCCAAAAAAAAGTATAATTGAAACTGAAAAAAAAGTATCGATAAGAATTCAGCATGATCCATCAATGTACCGAGTGTACTTTCTTTATACGATGAGATACTTTTCAATTGTAAGCATTTTCATTAAATTTTTGAGCGACACTGGTCTTGTAAAGATGGAACTCGGGAGCGAAAAGAGCGCAAAACCCATATAATTAGAAAATCATGGAAGAAGACGAACTGGTTACATTACTGACTGCTGAATGAATAAAATTCACTTGTGATATTTTTCTTCGGGCAGGATAATTTCTGCCCCCTATGGGAAGATCGTATAATATCCACTAACTGCTCCTATTGGCTTGCAAATGTACATGGAATTGATTTTGATGTCAAAGTATGCTCAATGGAATTCAACACAAAACTATTCATTTTTTGGTTGAGTTGCGAGAGAAGGATTTGACTCGGGGAATAAGGATTTGATGCATAAGAATTTTAGAATTTACTTAGCAGTTGACTTTCACACAAGTACATTATTTCGTTTCNAGAAGTCTTGAACGTTACGAATTTAAAATTATCACTTTTTTGATTATTTACGGTTAACTCTTTCTTATGTTGGGTCATTTTTTTGTCTGTAAAATGCTTGTGATATCCTCAAATGCATTTGTTCAATGCATTTTCTCAAGAGCAGATACAAAAAGTGGAGAGAGAGCAAAGCCGAAATCTGTTCCATTCGAGAGCAGATATTGAAGTTATTGGATTTGGTATTGAATTGAGTTATTGAATCGGTATTCCTTCTGAGAAAAATTCTCGTGAAAGAAATTAATTTTTTCCGATACAACCCCCTGAAAACAGAGACATATGTTGAGGTTGGTTGGAAATTATTTCAGTGGTATATATCAATAAATGATGGCTTATTAGATATTGCTTATTTGCTCGATTATAGTGGATTGAAGAAGCACGAGAAGTGGATATAAAGTATGGAATTCAACTTATTAAATTGTTATTTATTTTCATTTTTGCAATAGAAATTC